TTTGGAAAATTCAATTATGAGAAATAAGACTAGATAAGGTTCTACTATGAGTAATCTGATAACAGTGAATTATCTCTCTGACCTTCATTCAAAGAACAATTGTCAGTGACCCAATTTACAGTAGGAGGAAATACATTGGCTCCCACCTCTCCCCATAGATCTATTTTGATCTGATTCATACTATTTGCCCTGGCCTCGCTGGCCAAGGGCACAATCTTGCTGTTGGTATTTTTGAACACAACAGCCAAAAATCATGCTTGAAATCCATCCAATATGTCATTCTCAACTGGGCCCTTCAGGGAAAAGAGTGAAGCTAGGATTACTACAGACTGGACTTGCGATGGGAGTACCCTCTAAAGCAAGCCAGAGCAAGACTCTCAGACAAGGCAACACTTTTCCAAAGCACTTCAGATTAATGGAAGCTCTAAATTTAAATTACTTCTCTTGTTCAATTTCTCAAGATGTTTGATATATGACAGCGATAAATTCACTTCAGCGATGTGTGTGTGCTTAGCCCATGCAAAGCCCTGATTTCCAACCCCAGCACCTGAGTACTTCATTGTCTTTCTATAATTGACTATTTCAGTTTAAAACACCTAGCTACTTTGCGATTATTCCTAGTGCTTTTAGAATCAAATGATTTTGATTTAATTCCATATCCACCCACTAAGTATTTTCTTTTTTTTTTTTTTGGTACTGTGGTTTGAACTCAGGGTCTCACACTTGCTAGGCAGGCACTCTACCACTTGAGCAACTCCACCAGTCCTTGTTTTGTGTTGGGTATTTTTGAGATAAGGTCTCACTTTTGTTGCCCAAGCTGGTCTCAAACCTTGATACTCCTGATCTCTGCCTCCCGTTAGGTAGGATTACAGTCACGAGCCACAGGACACCCATTACTAAATATTTTCTAAAGCTCACATCTCCCTCTAATTTATCACTTCTTCAATTACTGAGCACCCACTCTGCAAAGTCCTCAGAACCCCAGGATTCAACAGGAACATAATATAGCTTATTATCTATTGAGCTAAGTACATTTGGGGAATAAAAGTGAATTAAATACTATCTAGTTTCTCAGTGCCTCTTTGACATAGTATCAAAGCATATTCACTCTAGGTATAGTTAAAAAAAAAGTCTGGATACAATTTCTTGTGACAAACTTAATGAGAACATGCTACATACAAGATCTTGAATTTAGCCAGTTTTCTGTTGCTTTAACTGAATGCCAGAGACTGGGTAATATATAATGAACAAAGGCTTATTCAGCTCCCAGTTCTGAAGCATGGGAAGTCTAAGAGAAAGGTGCCAGATCTGGTAAGGGGCTTCTTACTGGATCACAACTTGGTGGAGGGCATAGCACACACAGAGAGATAGAGGGAGGTATCAGAGACAGCCACCCCTGGAGAGCCCATTAGTTCATAAATCCAGGAAAGCACCCAAACATATCTCAAAGGTCTCATCTCCAAATGCCATTAACAAATGACCATAGGGACAAATGTCCAACATTTACATTCTGAAGGACACACCCAAACCACAGTCCCCACAAATTATCAGATGTACAAAGGTTTAAATCTATGTTGCTTCTCTAATGCCTTTCCTCCCTGTGAGTTCACTGAGCACCTCGGTAAATTTAGGGAAAGAGAAAACAATTGCATAAAATAAACTTAACTAAAACAGTAAGATTACCTTAAAGTCCCGTTTTTGTTTTTGCTTTTTCAGCACCGATCTCATGAAGAAAACATGCCACCACAAGGGCTATTTACCCAAACTGAGGCTAACCGATTCTGATGTTGCTGGGATCCTCAGTATTTCCCCGCCTCTATAAAAGGTTTCTAAGAAAAGCTTTATTATTATTATTATTATAAGTGATAGTGGGATTTGAACTCAGGGCCTATACCTTGAGCCACTCCACTAGTCTTTTTTTGTGATGAATTTTTCGAGATAGGGTCTTGAAAACTATTTGCCCCAGCTGGCTTTGAACCAGGATCCCGCTGAGTAGCTAGAACTACAGGTGCCACCAGCACCGGCTCCTGAGAAAAGCTTTGTACCTAGTGAAAATTCTGCCACATAAAGCCTACAAAACCTCAAATATTTAGTTTTTGCCAAAATGTTGAAGTCCCACGTTATTTAAAACAGTAATCAATCACAATAATTATGTTTTCTGTTATTGTTGTTTGGGAGGTACTGGGCATTGAAAGGCTTCATGTTTGTTTGGCAGCCACTCTACCCCTTGAGCCACACCTCAGGTATGCATCATAGTTTTTAATCTATGTATTTTAATGCAATTCTCTGATTTTCCTGCCAATATACCCGAAAACATTAGTTGGGAAAGCATTAGTTGGGCTTTATAGATTTTTAGCCTCCTTCCCCCCACATTTTATGGGGGAGTAAACGCTAAAGAAACTTAATAGAACTCACAGCACCAACTCCTTTACGGTTTTGAGTCTCTTGGCTGCTCTTCAAGAATAACTAAAGGAATGAAACTGTTTAGTAACTGTTTGCCAAAAGTAAGTAACAATTAATCACATTTCTACCTCTGTAACCGCCCAAGTCTTTGGTAATCCAGGCCTGCTATGGCCAACAGAGAAAACGGTATACAGAATATGAAGTGTAAAGGAGTGATGAAGACATTTTCTCTTTAAACAAAACAAAAACCAAAACAAGAACTAAACCACAAAAAAAAGAATAAGAAAGATATAAACAAACCTTTTAGGCCAGACAACTAAAAACACATGCTGCCATGTAATATGATCATAGAATCCATTTCATTTAAAAACATCACACTTCAGTCTAAATCAACAAAATAGAACACAAGGAACCTACTGAGATCAGTAAAAGGCTTACAGAGCACTTTTTAAGATTAATCCATTCTGTTCATTCTCATGCAAATTTCAGCATCTCCAAATTTCGTTCAGCTCTCAATAGAAAAGCATTTATTTCTTCCCAAATTCCTTAATTAGTGAACCAGATTCAAAACTTTACCTAAAAATCCAGAAGTTCATAGTTAACATTAAGGTCTTTGCCAAGTTCTTTCCTCGATAAACAAGGGCATGTCTCCCAACATGTGGCTGAACAGTAAACTCAAGCTGAATTGCATCTACAACTGTGGTATGTTAAGCGATTAACTGAGAAGTAAAAAAATCCAAACTAGCTTTTTCTACTCTGCAATACAGGTCACACCCAACATTACACAGGAGTGCTTTCTTTGTTGATTTGTACTGCTATTAAACCAAATACTTGAGACTGGATAATTCATAAACAAAAGCAATTTTGCACACCTATGGAGGCCAGGAAGTCCAAGATCAAGGATCAGGCAATTTTCTTAACAGGTGAAGGTCTGTTCCTTGCACATGGTGCCATCTAGGTATCTTCACATCCCAGAAGAGCAACAAGGGCCTAGGCTACTAGCAATTGACTCAAGGGCAGAACCAGTCTGAGCTGGGGACGCTATACAGTTCAATGCTTGCCTAGCATGCACAAGGCCCTGGGTTCAATTTCCAGCACTTAAAAAAGAAAGTCCTCAACAAAATCCTGCAAGTGTAATGAGAGTAGTGCCCTCCGGACTTAATCTCTTCTCCAAAGGCCCTATCATGTAAACATTCAAACCATAACACTGAACTAGATGGTAACACATATCAAAATAGTCTCACGTTCCCACAAAGACCAGACTAGATGAAAATTAGGATACTTTAAAAACATGAGAGTGGGACACAAAAGTATGATATTTAATCAGACACTGGGCTAGTGAGCACAAAACAATCACTTCCCTGTTCAGGAGCCAATAAGTAAAGCTATAATTTGATATGAATTATAATTAGAAATAATGAGAGCAATTTCTTGAGTTCCTCCACCATTAAATTATAAATCATTGAGACTTATCCTTTGAAATTACTAATGATTAGCCTATGCTGTTCATGTGAGAATTTAGGAAACCTCTCATAATTCTGTGGAATTTTCAGAAAAAACTGTGTACATTTAAAAAAGGTTCCTATACTCATTACAATTTAAAAACCACTCTACCCAAAAAGACATTGTAAAAGTATGCATTTTATTCATTCATTCCATCAGCTGAGAATTGTTCTATTGTACAAATACGGTATTGTACCAAAAAAATCACAAAATGTTACAAAATAAAAAAGTACAAACTGTATTACTTAATAAATACGACTAAAAGTAGTTGAAGTGGCAAGGAGATAAGATTTTTCAAATGGAAACACTGTTTGACCCAGCAAACCATACAAGCTCTGTTTATAGACATTTTTATATTATACAGGATAATCCTATTTTGCCTTCTGGAAGAATTTATAAGGAACAAGATATTAAGACAGTAGTCTGCTATAAAATAACTGCAACGTTGGTTCCAGGCATTTGCTATAAATCTTAGTTGAATCCAAAAAAATGAAGCAGGAGGCTCATCTTGTCACAAAATTCTACACCATGTTAAAATTCTTTCATTAACAAAATGACAAATGAAAATATGAAGCAGGAGGCTCATCTTGTCACAAAATTCTACACCATGTTAAAATTCTTTCATTAACAAAATGACAAATAAAAACAGAGCACCAGACAATCTACTCTAAACATTAACCAGAGAATCATCATTCTGCCACAGCAATTATCAGACATTCATTCTTGTTAGACCTGGTACTATCCTTTAAGGAAAAAAAAATCTAATAGCCATCTCTTAAGTATTTCTCTTTAAAGATTGACAATTTCTAGAAAAATAATTTCCAAACAGCAAATCTGCTTGTTTCATCACAATGGAATGGGCAATCATCTGGTAACATGAGTGCATCAATATCCAATGATATCATTACCTAAGAATTGTAAAATTCACATTTCAACAACGTAAAATAACAAACTTCAAAATCACAAACTTCAAAATGATAAATTTCATATAAAGCACTTTTCTAGATTTATGCCCGAAAGTTGTTTGTCCAATTGGAACACATCATCGATGAAAGCACACCAATTTTTAAAAATGTTGTGCAAAAATACATTTTTATAGAAAATAGACTACCAGGAATGAACAAATTTACACTGTGAGGAATTAACTTGCAAATTAAGTAGTGCTCACTGTATACAGCAAATTATAAATAGCAGTAGGATCCCCCAAAGCTATCGTGAAACATCATTTAGGTGCCCAGCAACCTTCAGCTGAGAAAATGTTAAAAACAAATGATTAAGGCATCACACCTACGGTAAATCTACTAGGAAGTTTAAAAGTGCTATTACCCTGATTAGAGTTCACGTGATTCTCCAAACACAAGTTCCGTATGCAATTTCTCAGGGTGTAAGATGTCAGACATTTCAAGAGCATGCATTTTGCTCGATATACATTTTGGATAGGGATATGGCCATGGATTTGGCGAGTTCTTCGTCGCGTTTTCTTTGCACTTGAGTTTGTTTACACCAATTGTCATACTCTGGGTTGGGATAGGAGTGATCAAACACAGCATCATAGTGTCCATTGCTGAGCCAGCTAAGCCAGATGCTGGGCCGCAGAGGGTCCTCGGGGCCCAGATAGTGGACCATAGTGGACACGGTGGGGCTCTCCAGCCGTCCCCCAGTCGTCAGATGGATATTCACGTTCAACATCTGGCCCATGGCCAGCAATTCGGGGTAGCCGGCCCACGCGCCGTCCTGGGCGGCTGCGATGATGAACTCCCCCACGTCGCCCTCTATCAGGGGGCTGAAGTGGTCCAGGTGGTCGGCGATGTAGTGCACCGTCTGCTCCCTCAGCTCGCGGTGCAGGCTCTGGTCCCCGTACACGGCCTTGCTCACGGCTCGGTACAGGCAGTTGCCGTCGGGAATGATGTGAAATCGGTACTTGCTCCGCTGTCGCAGGTATTTGTCTTGCTTCTCCACCTCGGCCAGGTACAGGGCGAGCTTCTCGTCTCTCGGCTCCGATCTGGCCACGGCCACCGTCTCTGCGGCGCTGCCTGGGGTGGCCTCGCCGCTCCGCGCTGGGGGCGCCTGGGCCTCGGGCTCAGGTCGCTGGACCACGTCCGCGCCTGGGGGATCGCTGCGGTCACCGGCCTGCTCCCAGCCCCGGCGGATCCTCTCTGCCCGGTGCTCCTCGGCCCATACGCCGGGGCCGGGCTCGGGGCTTCCCGGGGGCGGCGCCGGGGCTCGGTGCTTGGCGGCGGCCAGGGCCTGACGATGCTCGCTCAGTCGGAAGTTTCTGTCGTCGGGTCCCTCCCGGGCCGCGTCCAGGCCGGCGGGATCGGGGCCGTCGGGCCTCAGCAGTTCCTCGAGGAGCCAGGCGGAGGAGCCCCGCCGCGGCGGCACCGGCACCGGCACCGGGGCGCGGGGAGCGGGGGCCAGCAGCAGGCAGCGGGCACGCGGGGCGGCGCCGGGCGCGGGGTCGGACCCGTGCAGCAGCAGCCGCCGGTCTGCGCCCAGGGCGCGCACGGTGATCTGCGCCGTGGACGTGTAGTGCGGCGGCAGCGGAGGCTTGCAGGCCGCACCGGGCGGCCCCGCGGCGGCCGAGGCTGGGGCGGCGGCCCCGGACACCACGTCGAAGCAGGAGAAGGCGGGCATCTTGGCGGCGGGGGCTTCCCGGGGCTCAGCGGCCGCGGCGGGCTGGCACTCACCGGTCTCGGGCTCTGGCGCTCCGCTGGCGGGACCCGGGGGCTGCAGGGACACCTTGAAGGCGGTGGCGGCGGGTGGCGCGGGAGCGGCGGCCGTGGGACCCGGTGCCCCGGCTGGGTAGTGGGTGCAGACGCTGCTGTAGAGCTGCATGTCCCTTGCCCGCCGCTGGGCCCCTTATAGGCGCGGCGAGTCCCCGTGCAGGGGACACACCTCTGGGCCTGCAGCCGTGGGGGTGTGGGGAGCCAGCCGAGCGCGGTGACCCAGTGCCCCCAGAATAGAAATGACCCAAGGGCCGCCGGCGGCTGCGCGTCAAGAGCCGCAAATAGCGCCCGGGTCCCAGCCAAATTCCTGCTGCGCCACAGCGCGCCGCGGGGGCAGGGAAGGAACGCGCGCTCGGCCCGCAGGCCCGGGGCGCCGCGCCCGCTGCCGGTGCTCCGGCCCGCGGCGGCCGCTGGGGACTGTTGGAGGAAGCCGGCCTCGCCACTGGAGCGCGTCCCGCCGGCGAGCAGCAGTGCAGGGCGCGCGGAGGGCCGGGAGGCGGGGCCGCGGTTGTTTACCTCAGGCCGTGCGGCCGCGTCACGTGGGCCCGTTGGAATGTGCGGCTCGTCGCGCCGCTCCATTCAATTGCGCGAGTTCGCCCCGCCCCTTCCAGCTTGGGCTCCGCCCCGCTCGACGGACGTCATGGGCGTGGCCTGAGCGGGCGCTCGGGCGGAGTTGGGTGGGTGTGGGATGAGGAGCCTAGACTGATACATGCGCAGTCGTGGGATTCCGGGCTGCAGGCCACGTGACTCCTAAAGCTGGCTTCCCAGGTTCCAGCCGTAGGCTGGCTGGTAGGTTGTTTGAGTCTCCGCTGCTGCCTGGCTCTGTGGCTGGATGGGTGCCGCTTGAACGAGCTGGAATGCTTGGGAAACTTGCGTCTCGAAGGCAGCCTCAGAGCTAGGGCTAGAAGACGGAAAGATGCCTTTGCATGGTCTTAGGCTTGCATTCGCCACTAACCTCTTTTCAGTCAGTTCCTTGGGTTCACATGTTTAGTTCCCAAGGTCTTGCTGCCCTGCTAAGCAGAAAAACAGGCTTTTCTGCACCCCTAACTCATATCACCTGGGAAATGCATGGCTGAAAGGAAGGAAGCCTTTCAGACAGCTTTTCTCAGAAGACTGAGTGCCGCTGGGTCTTTTGAAAATAGGTGCGGCTTCTAGGCATAGGTGAGAGGCAGTAGACGGGGACTTGGGTAGAAACAAAGAAACTTCCCCCGCCCTGGGTTAGTAGCGCCCTCCTTTGTGAAGGAAGTTTTATCACTGTGCATTATCTTAGGGTAACAAACGACTTTTGTTGTATTTTGAGCTTTGGTCAGATGCTAAATGTACAGGCTCTAGACATGCAACTTGAATTTAGAAGCCATTGTTTTAGAGTTGGTGTACGCTGGAACGAAAATCCCACGAATGGAAAAATGGTCTTCTTCTCTACTTTTATCCCCTAGCCCGGCACATAAAGGAACTAATTACGTTTTACTGAATGGATGAGTAGATGGAAACCAAGTTCCCAAGGCTTCTCAGACAGCGAGCAATCTAGAATTACAATCCAGATTTCTTGACTCTGGCCGGTTTTTAATCTGCCATGGGGATAAGGGGGCAGATAGGCGTGGCAAGATTCCAGTGGCAGCTGTGTGCTCAGGTCAGTGGAACCTGCTAGGTAAATTAATTGAGGAGGAGAAGGTAAACAACTGTCTAACCATGCTATTAAATTTTGCTCACTACCCTATGGGGAGCTGGTAGCCCCATGGCTAACTAGAAAAGGGGAATTACTTGGATTTTGACCCTGGTTTGTTGGGTCTCCAATGCTGTGCACTTCCCACTAAACTCAGCCTTTCCATAGCTGAAGCTCTGAAATAATAAAGTAACTATCAACAGTAAGATAATCCTGAAATAATATTTACTGAGTACCCAATGTGTGCCTAGCAGGGCTAGGTAGCATAACAAGAGCTTGGAGGAAGCTAAGGAAAATATGAAAATTAAAATCTTAAAGCAAGAGTGTGTTTTAACAGGTAGAGGTAAACACAGAAAAACAAAACACTAGGTACACAAAAGACAGGCGATGTGCCTGATGTACTGGGTTAAGGACATAGAAGTGAAGCTTTAAAACTTTAACATACATGAGGACATTTGTTTTTCCTTTTGGTTTATGTGAAAATGGTGGACTATGGAAAACTTCGTATCCACTGTGGGGATCAATGTCCACTCCACATCTCAGGCACAGAGGTCTGGAGAGAGTGGTAGTCTTAGGGTAGATAGTTAGGTAGCCATGAGCAGGAATGAGGAAATGCCCTAAAATCCCAGATGTCCCACACCCTGAGCCAAGGATTAAAACAATAGCCCTATATTCTCTTTAGGGAGCATGCAGCCCATGTCAAGTAGGGCATGCGATTTGAGGGCGTAATGATTGCCATATGACCTTCCTCTGTTAGTGTTAAACCAGGCAGGGCAAAGAGGCTCAAATGTGCAGGCGTAGGCCTTCCTACACCCAGGCAGTCTTGGCACCATGGCCGCATCATTTGAGGAGGGCCACAAGAGTAGAGCCTCAGGTTTAGGCCACCTAGTAACCCTACCTATGGGATAAAACTTAAACCCTGACTGAAGCAGTCCATCCTCATCCAACTGTCCACCTCACCTTGCAAGGTGTAATTCTGCTTTTCTAATAAATCACCCTTTTCTATTTCCTACTCTTCATGGTTCATTCCCTGCACCTTGGACAGCATCCTAATCACAGACCTGTACCCAAGAACCTGCTATGAAGGTCTAGAACACCCCAGCCACTGGTAACAATACTTCAGGGAACTTCAAAGCAGGAATGACTGCCAGTCCTGAAAAACGGGGGTGGGGGAGGGGTGGAATTCTGTCCTGGAGGCTAAGCAAAGGCCAGACCTTACAAGTGATAGCAGAGATCAGCGAAAGAGAGGGAGGCAAATGTAATTCCTTGAGCAATGTCCGTAACCTACTCAAACAGAATCCCTGTTCTGATGTGAGAGGTTCGGTTGTATCACAAGAAGTGTATGTGGGCATCTAGTATATGTCCATAGGTGTAGGAGACACTGAGAGGCAAACAAGATCCCCATGGTCCCTGGCCTCAGGAAGCTCATAGGGATGGATCATGAATAGGACAAAGCTTCTGGAAGTACAAATCATTAAAAACATACGCTTTCTTGAGGCTAGGGTTGTCTCCATTGTAGACCCCTCATGTAGTAGCATGCCTTGGGTCCCCAGCACAAGGAAGGAAAGAAGAAAGGAGGGATGGAAGGAAGGAAGGAAGGAAGGGGGGAGGGAGGGAGGGAGAGAGGGAGGAAGGAAGGAAGGAAGAAAGGAAGGAAGGAAGGAAGGAAGGAAGGAAGGAAGGAAGGAAGGAAGGAAGGAAGGAAATGAGGTGCCAGAGGTTCACACCTGTAATCCGAGCTACTCGAGGTAGAGATCAGGAAGATCCTGTTTCTAGGCCAGCCCAGGCAAAAAGTGAGGCTTTATCTCAAAAATATCCAACATAAAAAAGGGCTGGCAGAGTGGCTCAAGTGGTAGAGTGTGTGCTTAGTAAGTGTGAGGCCCTGAGTTCACACCCTAGTACCAACAAAAGAAAGAAAAAGATTCTCAGAGCAAGTTGTTATAGCTCATTTGCATGTGAATAGTGTAAACTGATTCACTGAAGTTCTTCAAGGTTCTTGGGAATCCGCGAGATGGAAATTATTTCAAAATGCCTTGGACCTAGGTAATTGTGATGAAAAAATATTGCAAGCAGCAGAAAATCAAGTCAAGGTTCCTAGCCCCAAGCAGATTCTAGTACAGTAAGGGGGATAAGGCCAAGAGCAACTTTAGGGTGGGGGGGGAATGACTTCCCATATTTTTAATAATTAAAATTAATAAGCATGACAAAATGCTACACAGATGGGAGCAATCAAAGAACCGTAAGTATTCCAGATAGAAGGGTATTTAATTCTGCATGGTCCACATGACTGTTAGCCTCTTCTCAACTGCAAGCTCTTCAGGAGAAAGGTCTCCAAACTTAGCATAGAATAACTTAAAGATTTTATGATAAACTACACATTAAAGTGGCTGGGGATGTAGCTCAGTGGTAGAGCGTTTGCCTAGCATGTGTGAGGCCCTGGGATCTATCCCCAGCACCAAAATAAACCAAAAAAACCTATGCAAGGAAACTGAATCTTCTGTCTTACATTTAATACAGCAATTAAGCTGAAACTAAAAAATGAATTCTTAATGATTCTAAACCATAGTTGTTTAGTTACTGAACAGGCTAGAAAAATAGGAAATATTAGCCATCATCAACCAGAGGATAGCAGCAAGAGAACCATTGGGTTAAAACAAAACAAGAAGGTCAAGTTAATATCCAGTTGAATACCAGCTATGTAATTGGTGGCACCAATTACAGAGAATTCAGAAGCACTCTTTCATGACTGTCCAGGTGGCAGAAACCTGGCCACCAAAGGCATCTTTTCCTTAAGTCACATATGCCTAAATACACCATTCCCAATGTCTTACCTTCCACCCCCAAATAGTCTAAACTTCCAAAAACCTCATATATTCATTCTTTGATTAATCATTTCTTTATAGGCCTACTATGAAAAACAAGCTTGAAAAAGAACAATGCTGGAGAACCCATGGCTCCCAATTTCAATTTCTTTATGCTACTGACTGATAAACGTATAGATCAATGGAATGAAATTGACAGTCCAAAAGTAAATTTACACATTTATGGTCAGTTGGTGTATGACAGTATGCCAAGACAATTCAGTGGGGGAAAAGAGCCAGTCTTTTCAACAAATTGTGTTAAGACGAGATACCTATATGCAACAAAATGAAATTGACCTCCTATCTTATAATATCTACAAAAATCAAATCAAAAGCCTAAATGCAAAAGCCCAAACCAGAAAACTCTTAGAAGAAATAGTAGACATAAATCTCTGTGACCATGAATTACATAACAGTATCAGAGATACGGCACTAAAAGTATAACTCACAAAAGAAAAATATAAACTGGATTTCATCAAGATTAAAAACCCTGGAAAAGATGATGGGGGTGATCTAACCAGTGTATAATATAAGCCTAATCAGAATTGTCACTATGAATCTCCGCCCGTATATTGAATATATCCTAATAAAAAATTTTATAATTGAAAAAAACAAAAAATTAAAAACCTTTGTGCTTCAAAGCAAATAATAAAGAAAGTGAAAAAACCTTAAAAGTGGGATACACTTCCAAAT